GTTTGACATACAAAAAGCCAAAAGCATGTTTAAAGAGAAGATGTAATGCCAAAACAAATAATACGCCAATGAGTCTTTTTCACATTATTTGTTTTTTGGCGCTACATTTTCACTTTGAATCTTCTGTGTGCTGGTCTTTGGCCTTCTTAATTGGCCAACGTGGGATGATGCCACTCTTGTGGGTGTGCAGGAGCCACTCATCCGGGCACACAAGGTTCAAGTCAGCACTGTAAGGTGAGTGTAGGCCAGCACCTGTATAGGAAAGTGCATACAAGTCATACACTACCTTCATGGTGGCCTTTACTGGGAGCCCAGCAGTGCTGAAAAATCTCCCTTTTCCCTGCAATACGCCTTTTGACATCAGGTTTCTAGTCCTAGCAGTCTGTCCTGCATTATTTTAAGTAGTTGGGATCAGGAGCTTTTTTTAAAAAAACAGAGAAGGTACTCTGGAGGATGTGGGCATAGCCTGAGAGTACCCCCCCCCCCCAAAAAAAAAATGCAACTGTATAGCTTGCTGGTGATTTGGGGGGGGGGGGGATATAATGCTGACTGTCATTTTAGGTTGGTGTCACTTAAGCTGTTTTAGCTACGGTCTTTTGTTGATTGACAGAGCTAGGGCATGTTTCAATATGGTTTTTTTTGCATCTGTTTCTCTCATCATACAAGTCAATGGGACTAATGCAGCTTTAAGCAAGTCAAATGCAGGACGGAAAGAGGTCATCTACAAGTCAAAAGTACCTGTCAATTCATTTGAAATGATCTCAGGAGTATCTCATGCTGATGTCAACTGACATAAGCCCAAAACCAATCAATACAGTCCCTAACACTCTCTCAGGATGGGCCAGGCAGATGTCGGAGATAGAGACAATTCGGGTGACCTCTGGCCACTAACACTCTACGCCAGCCATTTTCAACCAGGGTTCTGTGGAACCCTAAAGGCTGCTAGGGGTTTCTTAAGCTATGGGCTGACTGAACTCCCATTTTACGGCACTTGGCAGATTCAGCGGAATGACACCAATGATCATTTAAACTACCTCTAAAGAGGGCATTCTTTTCATTGACCCCTGATAAATTGGTTCTAGTAAGGGTCCCCAAAAACCTGAAAATAATTTCTAAGGTTCCACTAAGGAAAAAAGGTTGAGAAAGGCTGCAAACTAAAAAGTGTCAGACAACGCAAGTAAAGATCAATAAAGGGGCATATATACATCCTTCCTAAATTAGGCAGAACAATTCTAATCATTTTTAAATTTTCATATTCTTTGCATAATTCCAGTTGCAACTGATTCAACTGAAACTGGATATTCACTTTAATTAACAGAAGAGTACAATATGGTTGCCAACACCTTATGTAGACACTAGATCGATTTAATTAAGCCCCTTGACGGGCTACATCACTTTATCAAGGACTCTTGATGCTGTAAGCAAGCAACATAACAGCTCTCCCTTACTATAGACTGGCAAGATGGACATAAATACAACCCATCACTTCCCGAGATAGGATTAAGCCTCCGAGCGCAGCCACATAGTTCAGATGTAAATAACATGCAATACAGCATTGATTTACAATTATGTAATATGAGTCCAAACAGTTATGACATGGCTCAATGAAATGTCAGTGAAAATTACAGTACAGTCATGTTTCCCCGGCAAACAGCACCAGTACAGTGATCATTGCAGTCACCAAAAAACATGAAAGTAGTTTCAGCTGTGACAGCATTTCACAGCAGCGTGAGGCTTTAACTGGTGCCTTGACCTACGGGGCCACCCTCTCCAAAATAAAATGTGATTAAGACTCCATTGCAGCTTAGCACCAGAATCCTCCAGAGAAGAGACTTTGTCAATCACGCTGAACAGTGGTGATAATAAGTGATTGCTCTGTGATGTGTTCACTACACTCAGGCCTCTGGGGTGTGAATGTGAAGTATATTTATCTAAGGAGCTTGAAATCTGAAAGAAGCACACAAGAAAAATTAAATAAATAAACCTGTTTTGCCCTTCGGCTCTCCAGCTTAATGGAAGACTCTTGAATTGTGGCGGGTTAGGAACAGCTCATCTACGTGAGTTTTTTTTTCCTCTTTTGTTCAAACTGCTGATAAGGAGGCACACGGTGTATAAAGGGAATGTGTAGCATGGCGTAAAAACACTGGTAGAAATTATACTGGGTATTGTGAAGTGTATTATTGGAACAAGCAAGAATTATTAAAGGTTCGCATAGGGGGAGATTTACTAAAACTGGTGTACTCTAGAATCTGGTGCAGCTGTGCATGATAGCCAGTCAGCTTCTAACCTGAGCTTGTTCAATTAGGCGTTGGCAATAAAACATGGAAACGGATTGGTTTTTAATACAGAAGTGCACCTTATTTTGCACTCTGCAGCGTTAGTAAATAAACTCTATTATTTAAAACCTATTTAAAAAGGGCAATTCACAGCCTTAACCCCCCTGGCGGTATTCCCGAGTGTAGCTCGGGGTAAAGTTTCAGCACCACAAGCGGTAACCCCGAGCTACACTCAGGAATACTCTGCAGCGTTGCTCTGGGATCTGTTCTTCACTTACCTTGTCCTGCGCTCCCACGATGTCCCTCCTGCAGTGTCCCCGGCAATGTCCTCCGGCGGATGCCGGCATCTGCCATCTGGGTTCCGTCCCCTGCGAGCGTCGGGATGTACGGGGATGGAACGGCGGGAAATTTGAAAAGGACAAAAAGCGACATTCACTAAATACACTAAAATAACAGTAAAATATTACTGTATCAAACCATTTCACATACATTTTGTCCCGAGTGCTTTGTCCCTGCCTGCATTTTTACTGTTCTTTCTGCCTGGAAACTGAGAAACGTCCATGGTATCCAAAAAGCGTCACTTTAGGTCAAAAGCGGTTTTAGACCGGCTAGAGAACAGCGATAGTAAATCAGAACCACTTGCAGAATTGAGTGATAATGATTCGTAGGGAAATTCCTCATCAGACACTGAAAACGATTTTGCGACTTTGCTCAGTGATGTGCAAACTTGGCGCTATATTTCAAATTTCAATGTTTTTGGTTTGATTACATTATTGAATTAAATTTATTATTATTATATTATTATTTTTTATGATTATTTATTAAATTATAATTTATGATTTCGTGTTTCGAATTGTAACATTCCCGGGATGTTTACTAGACTTTTGTTCGGAGAGATTTCAGTGAGTTACTCCTAAAAATTACAGGACTACAATAAAAAAAATACATATTTTCATGCAAAAAAATTTACCGCTTTGAGCACAGAAATATGGCCATAATCAGACTGCTAGGGAGGTTAAAAAGACATTTCAGTCACATCTCCACTTTCGGCGCCACCAACTTTGTAAGGCTGGCATTTGCAGATGTGCCGAAGGGCCCTGCCCTGCCTTCAGGTCCCGGCACAGCCCTGCAGTGCATCTGCAAATGCATTCAGGGGTTTCTATATATGCGCAGACATGATAAGGTTTGGGACTTCCATGTCCATATGTCTTTGGATATGTGCAGGAAACACACACATGTGCGGATGTACCACAGGGCTTTACTGGGAACCCAAGTGCTCAGCTTTACAAAATCTTAAAATGCAAAAAAAAAATAAAAAATAATATCCAAATGTGAAAGAAAGAGGAGGGAGAAGGAAGGGGAAGATATCTTTTTTTACTGATTTAAAGTAGTTTTAGGACCAACTTACACTGTTGCGTTTTAACACGCACATTGCAACACTCAAAAATACCAACTTCTTCACTTTCGCCTCTTTCTCCCTCCCCTTGGCCCAGTGTCCAGCTTAACTCTAACCTATACCATATGGGGGTGGGATCACATGGACCTCCTGTGTGGCACCTCCTCAAAAGCCAATGGTCATCAGATGGTTTGACTGATGTTGTGATGGTTCCTGATGAAGCAGATGTGAACTGTGAAATGTGTCGGCAATCCTCAGTGGGATATATTACTGTAGATGCACATATTTGTGATTTTCTGAAAATTAATAAGTAATTACATGTTCTAGTATTTACATATGGTTGTTAGCTCTGAAGGTAATTTCCTTCATTTTGTATCAACTTCATACTAAAAAAAAAGGATCTGTTCTCGTTTCAGTGCTGCAGAGCATTGTGTTTTCAAAAATAAGACGGGTCTGTTTTTTCTGCATTTTAGTGTGTTGGTCGGCCTTTTAGAAGTTCACAGCAGTGCATTAAAACACATATAACATACTTTTGATGCACTGGCAATATGTATGAAAGAGGAACAATACTTTGGGCCGGCCCCATCTCTTCTGCATCTACTCTTCCATCTTTAAATATCCTGTATGTGTGCAGATGTGCCACAGGTCTCTGCCAAGTCTTTGTGACTTGGCACAGACCTGTGGCACACCTGAGCATGTGCAGGGGATTCCTGCACATGCATACACAGGCCACTGGTTTCTGGCATCTGATGCCTTGCAGAGACCTGCACCTGTACACATGTGCAGAAACACCTCCATGCTGCCCCATCTCTGACAGTTTCAATACCTAGCACAGAGAAGTGCCATGTCTGCACCTGCATGGAACCTCACAGCTCACATGCGCCCCTCAGCAAAATGCTGCCTCCTGGGATATGTGACGTAGACATTTCAGGAGGCAGCTGTGGTTGCCTATATCATTCTCACCTAGGTGAGCAAAGAGGAAGTACTGGGCTGCAGCACTAAAAAGGTAAAAAAGCCTTTGTAGAAGTGAGGAAATGTACTTTAGTTGTAGAAGAGAGAGGGAGGAGGAACCAGGAAGGAAAAACTCACATTCATGGGTGAAAGACATCTTTAACAAGCCTTGGTCAATGGCCGTTAACCATATCCACTTCAAATTCTAGATTCAAAAACACTTTAAAAACCAAGGCCCACAAGCATCAAAATGCATGCTAACGCACAAATGTTGACACATGACAATGCATCAGCATAATGCTCAAAAAAAAAACACACACCTATGTACATGCATAGATTTAAATGGGCTCTCAAACTCTTCCTTTTTTCTAACTGTAATATATACTCAGGGGCGGACTGACAACTCATGGGGCCCCCGGGCAATAGGGGATCATGGGGCCCCTGTGTCCTTGCCCAAACTCAAAAAAGCCTATGAAAAAGGTACCAGGGGCATCTCATGGGGCCCCCTACTGACCCCCGGCCCTCGGGCAATGCCCGAGTTTCCAAATGGTCAGTCCGCCCCTGTATATACTATATATTTCCATCAATGAACCATTCTACAATGGTCCCCTATACTTTAAAAACCAAATCACCAAAGTACCAAGAAAATTACGCAATACAGGTTATCCAGGTAGTGGCAGCCTTTGTTAAATACAGATTAACAGCACACTGGGCTCAATAAATATAAATAAATTAAGAAATGACAGCACTTGTGCCATTGAGAGAACATTTTGCATTTTCTCAAAGAATGCAATGTGTTCTCTGATTGGACAAGGTGGAGATTATGATGAGAACAAAGGAAGTCCGATCGGCTGCACTCCAAACAATCCATTTATTGAACCAAGATAAAACCACTACAGACAGTGGAAATACAGTGGGGGACTGGCAGGTAAACGCGTTTCATGCTAGTGACAGCGCTTATTCATTAAAGAGCTGTCTTTAGTGTGAAATGTGTTTACCTGTCAGTGCCCCACTGTATTTCCACTGTCTGCATTGGTTTTATCTTGGTTCAATAAATGGATTGTTTGGAGTGCAGCTGATCGGACTTCCTTTCTTCTCATCTATGCAGCACACGAACTGGGAGTTTTTCCACCTTGAGCAGCGGTAAACATATATGTGGAGATTCTGATGTAATAACCTTGCCTATCTACTTAGTCCAATCAGAGAATGCTTTCCATTCATTGAGTAAATGCAAAGTGTTCCCTGAATGAAGCCCGTGCTAAGCGAGTGCACGAGTGTTCACAACCGCAGGGCAACCACTCAGCATTGAACCCATAAACTAGTGGCAATCACTGTCTATTACAGTGGTTTCCAGCTTCTATGGGGATCTCACGGGTATGGCACATATAGACTTAGAATGGTCCTAACTGGATCACTGTAACTATGGAAAAATTGCCATACCTGGAATTTAGTTTTAAAGTCTTGGTGTTCTTTTACCTTAAAGGATATGTTCACCTTTTTGCCAAAAATAATAAATGCAAATTTTTTTACACGTAAAAAAAATATGCATTTACTATTTTTGTCTACAGGAGCCTGGAAAGCATTGCACCAGCGATCACTAGATCGCTGGTGCCATGCAGGTCTCCTGCAGACCTGTTGGAATATCTGCTTGCCCTATCGGATGTATGGTCAAGCAGATATTCTGACAGGAAGCTACAATGAACTACCATGGGTCTATCGCAGTAAAGGTTTCCATGCTCAGGCACCCCGACGCATGCGTTTATGTTTGTACGTGCGTATATGTGTATTGGGGGGGGGGGTTATGTGCTTGGGCATAACTAATTTTTTTTTAGTAAAGAAAATTGGTTTATTATTATGTTTTCATCCCATAGGGGACAGAAAATCCCATATATGATGATTTTTTTGGTGACAGGTTCTCCTTAATGAGACATTCAGGGTACATGGCTGGATCGCGATGGAGCTCAAGTATTGTGGGGGTGCTGCTGCACACAGGTTTTTTACCTTCATGCATAGAATGGAAATAAAAGCCCACAGCATACTCCGCATGGTACCGTCAAAGCTTACACAGAGCTATAAACTCCTGTCCTGGCCCCATGCAACAGCACTAGACCAATCTTAAGACACCTAACACTGAGGGGAAGATTTATTAAAACTGGAGCACTTATAATCTGGTGCAGTTGTGCATGGCAGCCAATCAGCTTCTAACTTCAGCTTGTTCAGTTAAGCTTTGACAATAAAATCTGGAAGCCGATTGGTTTCCAGGCACAGCTGCACCAGATTTTGCACTCTCCAGTTTTAGTAAATCTCCCCCTGAACCTTTTCCCTTGCCCTCCATTAAGCTGTTTGTCTGGAGTTCCACTTTTAAGAATACAAGGTAATATAAGATTTAATATAAAAAAAAAAAAGAAAACTGCAAGAAAGTAGGAAAACTCTCTTTATATAATAGATGGGTTATGGACACAATTACGAGCCAAAAAAATGACAGACCATTTTCAACCAGTGAAAGGAATATATATAACTGAAATAAAAAACGGTGACAGCCTAGGGCCACTTTCCACTAAACTTTGTGATTACATTGCAAGTGCTGTCTGTCACAGATATTATAAAGTGATTTAGGCACACTTCATGCCTGACCCCAACTGACTGTGGTAAGTGAAAGACAGGGGGCTGATAATAGCTAGCTACCCACTGCTGACACTTGCCCAAGGCATCCTGCCTTTCCAGCAATAAAGCTCCCTGGCTCACTTACTGAACAGTGAATATTGATTTGTATCATGCATGTTGTCAAACACAGAGTGCAGCCCCGTAGATGTGTAGTGGCAGTTCGTCAGCGAGGACATTAGTGAGTACAAGGCCAGCACTCAATGTTCTCCTAGATACGTCCTGAAACAATTTTAGAAACCCATGAATCGCTTACAGGTGGAATACACTGCCAGAAGTTCCGGGCAACTGTTATAGTTCAGATTATGTGCTGGTTTTTGTTTCATTGAATGTAATTTGTACGAATGTTTTTGTGTGGGACATATTATATCTGATAATAAATTAATCAGAAAGGTTGTATAATGAAAGATATAAAAATGAAATAAAAAGAATAATGTAGCTGTTTGGGCTCATAGACACCGGCTTGTTCATGGCCGCACACTGCTCATTGGGTGGATATGGGCAAGCTATGGCCAGGAGGCCTGTACAGATCAATGACAGGCTGAGATGCTCCGCAGTTTTCCGCACATAATTGCACATTGAGCCATTACCTGCAGATAGGGACAGATGAGCGGCCCTGGATGCAAACAGTCAGCGTACAGAGCCACCTAACTGTCCCTAGCTGCACATAATCAATTACATGTGAACAGATGCAGTCATTGATCTATACAGGCTTCCTCTTAACAGATGATCGCAAACACCTGGCCATACCTGGTAGTTAGGACATCCAATGTGCACAGCGCTGCTCCTGACCCATGCCTCTCATTCTCTGTGGGCACCCATACGTCAGCTCGAAGAAGCCCATCTCTGATCACCATTAAAAGAAAAGTAGGGCTTTTTTTCCCCCATTTATACTTACCTAGGTGGATGCAGCATTGGTCCGATGCTGCATCTCTCCCCCACCAGCACTAGGTGTGAGAACTCAGCAATTACATGACCGCTGATCGCTGAGGTCTCCTCTCTGGTCAGTCACCACCCTCTGCTCAGCCCCCCCAGTGCTCACTGGAGTGCAAGGCCGTGGAGGGGGGAGGGAGCGGCTGGCTCAGGCTCTTAGAGCTTCGCTGTGAGGCTGAGCCAGGTGCCGCTCCAGTCTCTGGGGTGGATCCCGACTTTGAAGTCGGGATCTTTCCCCAGCCTGGACCAGCTGAGTGATGTCAGCCAACAGCGAACTTCAGACTGCTGTCAGCCGAAAACGGGACACATGAGTGCAGAACAAACTGCACTCCTGTGATCCACAGGAGAAGTACAGACAAAAAAGCTTTGCTGTACTTCTCCGTTAAGCAATTCTGATGAATAGAAGAATATCCGCTCTTCTGAACACTTTAATTCAGTGATTAGCAGTACAACTGCATACAAAAGGTCCCAACCCAACCCTTGACACATCTCACCACTACTGGCTTGACCACATTTCAAACACCTTTATTCAACAATCAGAAATACAACTGCATACAAAACGTCCCAACCCAGGGACCACCACTCTGATGCGTTTCACCGATACTGGCTTGATTGCAAGAAATGCAATCAAGCCTGAATAGGAGAAACGCATTAAGAGGGGCAGATCCTGAGCAGGGACCTTTTGTAAGCAGTTGTATTGCTGACATCTAAATTAAGGTGTTTAGAAGAGAAGATATTGGAGTGTGGCTTCTATTCACCTGAAAGTACCCACTGCAGAAATACACAGATTCGGGCAATGTGTGGGCATAAACAGCTTTGTGAATGAGCCTTTCACATGCCCATCTACAGTTATCTAGACCTAACCAGTAGAGATGTGGGGGTTGATTTACTAAAGGCAAATAGACTAATAGTGCAAGGGAATTTTTACTTTGCAAGGGAACTTTTCCAGAGCTTAATGAAGAAGATGACGTTCTGTTGACTTCCATCAGCCAGTCATGTGCAAGCAAATATACATTTTTTTCCTTGCTCATGATGTGTGTTCTTTGTAAAATGAATTCAAAGTAAATTTCAGCACATTAAATTCCCTTGCAAAGTGTCCTGCAGTATCTGTGTAAGGTATTTACAGATGACATTCATGGCCATGGCTTGGTTGTCAAATGGCTGGGAATTTGATGCGACCATGTTGTTTAATACTCCTGGCTATGACTTGGATTACTGCATGACTGTTTCCATTATCACCTGTGAAATATATTTTTTGTAAAGAGGAGGTTATTCTCAAAAAGCAAGCAGAGAGCAAAGGACTAATTACCAGTAGGGCCTGTAGGTTCTCTGTAGCCCATCTTACAAACTTATAATACTCTATTTCATAATGTGTCTCTATGTGGAGGAAGCCATCTTGGTAGAGGTACTTTGTTTCCCCATGTCAGAGCTGCTCCCTTGCTGACTGGTGATATGGTAACTGGGAAAGTAATAATCCAGTAGCTACACAAGACAGAGATAAAGCAAAGATGAACATAGTGAATGACGCAGAAGCTTGCACTGAAGTCTTCAGGTAAAGGTTCTTCTCCAGCAAGGAAAACAATGAGCGGCAAAGTATTGATATCGCTCCGAATCTCATGAGACTTGCAGTGCTTGGATGATCTCCCACTGCAGATCTACACCTATTACAAAAAAGGCAATGGTAATTTTAGGATGAAAACAAGACAAAAGGTATTTTTATATGTGCTCTATAAGATAGGAAACCTTTACTTTTTGAATATAGGTCCACTATACCCCTGGTTCACATCTGTGCAGGTGGTGCCACTGCGAATCCGCACCAAAATCCGTGCAGCCGCACCACCCGCACAGAGGAATGCAGACCTGCGGGCGGGTGCAATTAATTCTAATGGCACGCCACCCGCATTGGAATTCGCAACCGTACTGGGAACTGAGGTTCCCGTGCAGGCTGTGTTTTCCGAAGAAGTGCAGGGACTTCAAATGAGTGGGTTCTCATGCCCGCGCAAGACGCGGTCCGCAGGAATGTGGAGATGTGAACCTAGCCTTAAAGCATAAGCTCACCCAGCTGCCCACCTCCTTCCCAGAGTGTCTGCTCTGTATATTTTTAATTTGTGATTATAAGACAAGTCTCTGCTGAGAGGGTGAAACAGAGAGAGCTGAACTACTGAGAGAACACTTGGGCTACTTGAGTGTTTCTGCCATGACTTTTGAAGATTAATTTATTCACAGTGCCAGCATCTACAGAAGTCAGTTGAGAGTTTTTCTAAAAGCTAATTTACTGATTGTTAAAAATATGTAGATACTTGATTGCCCACAGCCTGGCATCAGCTTCCTTTCAGGCATTAGCTGTAGTATTTAGATAGGTAAGATATGTAGTTAAAATAGCTTTTGGGGAGGAGGATCCCTCCATTCAGAACTTTGAACATTGTAATGAGAACCTGCAGGTTAATTTTCAGGTCTGTGTATGTCTAAAATTAAGGTGGCCACAGACAGCGAGATCCATTAATGCAAATTACATATGTAGAGAGACTTGTCTTCCATGAAATGTTAGTAAATCTGGACCTTCTCTTCCACTGGGCCGACAAATGGATGCAATGTTCAGTAAATCTGTTGTTTCATTTCCTTTTTTATTGGACCATAGCTGGCCTCCATAAACGTGTCTGTCTTTGATAATCTGCATGTTGTGGAAGTGCACAGACAGATTAGAGATGAAAAAATTACTAACTTATCAAGACAACGTCTTCCATATGGCACTCATAGAACTGTACCTATAGGGAGCAGCACCACAGTATATTTCTACATTCTCTCTTACTATTTCCATTTTCTCCATCACCAGATACTTCTAGGTAAATCCAAGTGTAAAATCTAGAAGTAGGCGTAGATTTAAGTTATATCTTTAAAGTGGAACTACACTGCATCTGAGTGCCACAAACAAAAAAACGCTATTTCATTCATTTTTAATATTTAAAGCAAAGTCCCCCATCCATCTATGTCTTCATGATTTATTTTGGAAAATCACTTTGAAAAACACCCCTCTAGCATTTTTGGCCATGACCATCTTGAGTGAGGGCAGATCATTCATGTAGCATTTACGTCCTGGAATTCCTCTCCCCTTGGCTCAGGCATGCAGGCAGGAGGGTGCGCTTAGCTGAGAAAACCCCTCCCACCCTCCTGAAGTCTTCTGGGATGTATGCCATCATTTGCCTAGGCATGAAAACCAGGAAGTAATTGAAGAAATGTAAAAAACAAAAAAAAGTTTTAAACAAGTAAATGATATTCTATCCTATCTATTTACTTATGCTAACAGCACAAGGATTTAAAATAGTCAATGTTGACTGATAGAGTGAAGTTCTGCTTTAAGGAGCCAGAAGACATTCAAGTGGCTCAAGTGCTTATGGAGCTATGTCCTCTTTCTCTGGAAATTCTATATGATGGTTTGTGACAGAAGGGGTAGAGAACCTTCAAGATAAGTCTCGCCATAGACCTTAACATGACTTGTATGCAGTCTTACTGCAGTCAAACTATCCAAAATAAAAGCATGAATGATTTGAATAATCTGCTGATATTTGTGTTTAATCTTTTGCTTTCCTGTCTTAACATATCCACAAATTGATAAAGCCTAACTATAAAAACAGGTGCAAAACACTTAATATTTGTGTTTTTTACTCCTGAGCAGGGACTGTGTTTCAGTGCGCGCATACAGCGCACAAATGTAATCTTTATGCAAGCTTTGTCTCTTTGTGCAGCCATCTCTGTTATAGCGTAATTCTATATCTTGCCGGGATAGGTAATAACTGGGCTGTGAAGAAGCAAACGTGCAATCATTCTACCTCCATTTAGATCTAGAAAATCTGTTTTTAAACCACCACCAGGAGTAGAGGATGAACAGATTAACCTCTAGGGTGCCAGGCAGCAAAACAATATACTAGGCACACCTCTGCTGTACAAAGGGTTAAAGAGCAACTCCAGCTGTAATTTCATAAAAAAAATCCCATCAACTGCCAATGCTGTTCAGGAAATATTGCAACTGTGCGAATGACTTCCCATTTACCTTAATCTGAGTTTTATGGAATCCACTGGAGGTTTTATTTTGTAAATTCTTACATGAGCCTCCAGGGACTACGGCCTCTTTTATTGATTTTTGTTTGTTGGAATGCATCTTGGAATAGCTGGAGATGAGGATACTTGAACTGCACTTTTTGGCTTAGTGAATGGTGTTCCCATAATAAAAACAAGGACATTTTAGGGATTTTTTTTGGTTGGCCTGATTGACTGCAGCTATGCCTCAATGAGAAAAACAAACACTTTAGACAGGCTGGCTGTGAACTTTTGCTGTACTTTAAGGTTTAAAGTGAACCTGTGCTTTTCTGAAGACACTCCCTACCCTTATGAGACAGCACTGAGCTCCTGGGCAGCCAATCGCCAAGTATCAGCGTTGGCAGACAGAAAAATATGGAGTGAATCTCCTGCACCCTATACCTGTAAATACTACATACTTTTCTTTGCTCTCGGTAACTAAACAGAACGGTTGGGAAGTCAAGGAAAGATGTACTACTGGAGGGGTCACTATTTTAGTGAACCTATTGCTTTGTCGTTCATTGGCAAAGCACAGGTTAATGTTGAAGTTTGACTTAACTCACCTAATAGCCAGAAGACCCACTTATAGTTCACCATAAAACATCTGGCGTGAACGTTCATGCAATTGATCATATTGTATATATTGTGTTGGTTAGTTTCTTTCGCTAATCGTAGGAGAAATATAGAATTATGTAGCACTACACTAAATTAAATAGATATTTTCACACATATTGATCAATAAACCATTTGTAAGACTTTTTCTGGTGGCATAGTTCCTTTAAAATGTCCTGTGCCAAATTAATGAAACCCGACGGCTCAGTTATGCGTGACAGATTCAGGTAGTTCTTATTTGCACCACTTAAAGAATGTGCCACTATGACTGTGAAAAATTCAAAATGAATTAGCCAGTGCAGAGATCAGCAAACTTTCAGGATCCAAGACCAAATCTAAATTGGCATACAGGGACAAGTCAGTGCTCAGAGCCTGTTCAGGACATCCCTAGCTACCAGCATTCTAATAACCAAAGACTCATCTCTCAAAATCATCATTTGCTGGTAGATATATCTATAACTGCTTTGACTACATTCAAATGATTCTGAGGACAAAAAGAATCCCACCACCAAACCCATTTATATTCAACTTTCATGTCTTCCAATGCTGTTCCAATGTAGTTGTTTTTTTGTTTTTTTTTTTATTCAAATATTTATTAATTTTTCATATTTATAAATACATATAAAAAGAGAAAAAGAAAAGAAGAACATAACAATACATTTCTTCAACAATCTCATATCATATAAAATTTCTTATCTCCTTCTATTTCCGCCTTTTTATTTCCCTTCCCTCCACCCCTACTCCCTACCACATCCCACCACCCTCCCACTCTGCATTTCTCTCTTACATCCTTCTCTATAGAATCAAAAAGAAACTTCACTTATCACTTCCCATTGCTTCACATATATTTGTTTAATGTACAAAATCTTCCCATTTTCTCCATCTCCTATTGTAAATCTCCATCTTGTCTTCTTGGATATAATACAATTTCTCCATCCTACTAATCTGATTTACTCTCTCTACCCAGTCCTTTTCTCTCGGCACCTCTGGACTATGCCAATGTAGTTCTAACCCTGTGTAAGCTCCATGTTGGATGGTGTTGGACCTTACACAGGATTGGAAGGATTAATCAGTAGCTCAGGTCAGAGCACTGCATCATGATAGGAAGGCATATGCTGAGGGCATACGCTCTTCCATACTTGGAAGGATCGACTTGAAAAGAAAATTGGAGTGCAGAGTGATTGTGGCAAAGATGAGAAGTGGGTTGGACAGTAGATTTTAAAGAGACTCTGTCACTTTACCCTGAGTAGGCAAAGTCTATTTATGCTAAAATACGATTGGTTGGTTTAGGTTGCTGTACATCCTATCTCAGCACTACCATAGTAGAAAATCTTGTTTCTGTATTTGATATTATAGTTTCCTCCACAAAAAAATTAAGAATTAATCCTCCTGTCCTATTAGCATTAGCACTAGATAATAGTCACCACAGACAGGCATCCTGCTGGGATTCCTAACAGAAAGATACAAAACAAAGACATCTTCTTAGATGGGAAACTTAATAGGCAAGCTGTTGCTGTCACCTCCGGCATTCCTTCTCTGAATGGTGCTAGGGCCATTTAATATTAACATTTAACACCAGTGTTCTATGGATTAATAAGTGCAAATTACATGCAATGAGATTCTTACAGTATAATTGGCAACAGAGGAACATTAATGACAATAATATCTATTAAGATAATTATGAAAAGATATGAAAAAAAAAATACTGTGCACCATTAGCTATCATGAGTGCAACTCTAAAGGACACACAGTGCTAGAATGGAAACTGAATGAAAACAGCAGTTATTTTATTTCAGATTTATACTACTTTCCAAGTCTTTAAACCAAGATAGAAAGCAGGCAATAGAAGGTACCAGATTTTACCTGCAATATCTCAATAATCTACCTCAAAGTTCTGGCACAGTCCTTATCTGAAAATAGTTATTGGTATAGTGCAGGGGTCTCTAAGGCAGGCCATAGATGGGAATTTTCGGCCAATAAAAAAAAAAATCGGTTGGCCCGTTGCTGATGCTGCCACCAATGTCCACGAAAAAAAAACAGCCGTTTTTCGTGGATTTTCCAGCATGACCGATAAAAATAAATGTGAAGATCCGCGAAAAAAAACGGCCGACGGGTTGGCCCCAGTAACGACGTGAATATCGGCCGATTTTTCGTGCGGATGAAAATTCGGCCGATAAACGACCCATCTATGACCTGCCTAAATGTTTTCAGCAAAGGGCCAATTTACCATCTTTTAGACTGTAAGAGCAGAAAATACTCCAGGGCCAGTGGGAGCAGACAATGTCTCAGGCTTGGTAGTCAGTGGGAATACTTAGTATCATTAGTATCAGTAAGTGGAATTATGTCCAACTGTTAGCATTAGTGGGAAGAATAATGCCCCATTGTTGGTGTAAGTGGGAGGAGTTATGTCCCACTATTGGTGTCAGTGGGAGAAAAATTGCCCCAAAGACAGGATAAAGGCAAGCAAGTGTTTGCATCTGGTCCATGGCCGCAGCTCAAAGACCACTGGTATAGACTTAGGGATGTGATACTGCACCGGCCTGACAAATCGTTGACTGGGCACAGAGCTCTGTCATGACGGTGACAGGGAGCCACTATTTATTAATTTATCTATTTATTTCAGGTACTTATATAGCGCCGTCAATTTACGCAGCGCTTTACATATATATTGTACATTCGCATCAGTCCCTAACCCTCAACGGGTGTAAAATCTAAGGTCCCTAACTCACATTCATACATACACATACTAGGGACAATTTAGACAGGATCCAATTAACCTACCAGCATGTCTTTGGAGTGTGGGATGAAACCGGAGTACCCGGAGGAAACCCACGCAAGCACAGGGAGAACATGTAAACTCCAGGCAGGTGGTGCCGTGGTTGGGATTCAAACCGATGACCCTAGTATTGCCAGGCGGAAGTGCTAACCATTTAGCCACTGTGCTGCCCTGACTATGTGGATACATTGTTGAATTTAAAAAAATCTCACTATCTAGAGGGTACTACAGTCACTACATTGCAAAATCTTCTGAGGTTTGCAGTTGGATTTTAAAGGTGATTACCATAATGCTGCAAGTAAATTCTGTCATTTTAAGATGCCTATTATTATCTATCATCTCTTTTCGTTTACTGTTTGTTCAATGAACTTGCAGGATTAGGTTTTGTTTAAATATTTGAGCATTTATCTATATTTATTTTTCATCCATTGTAGGTAGGTTATTGCTTGTGGGACTTTTCCTACTTCTTCCTGCTTCTTCTTCCCTTGTTGAGTCTCCTGTCCCCTCCCCATAGATTGGGATGCTTTAGCCGGTCCACCCAGCTCGTCTTGTTGTTTGTGTGTGCCCTGAAGAAAGTGAGGTTGGTGCATGTATGTGCATATGTATGTGTTTTTGTATGTCTATGTAAGCATATCATTTTTTTTTTTCTTTCTTGGCAGACAGATCTTTTTTTCTCCTCTTTTTTTCTTATTGTATTGTTGTCTGGATGTTCATTGTATTTGTATATTTATTGATAAAGAATTTTTGTATCTTTACTTTAGATGGATTCTTTGTGATATACATGCCGGTCCTAAGAAACAGTCATAGTTCTGAAGAAGCGGATTATCCCTGAAACTCGTAGACTACGGTAATTTAGGACACAATCAGCAAAAAATATTGAGTATTTTTATGATTATTTGTCATGCATCCATTAAAATATTTGTAATAATTTTTGTATATTCTTTTATGCCGTGTTCGGTGTGTGGTCTCTCTAAACCGCCTTTCACCACCTGTTACTCATTTGTTACACCAACTGTGAGGCTACGTTCACACTAGCGTTGTGTGCAGGCGGCAGAGAGGTGTTTGGGAAGCGTTTTTACCGCTTCCCAAACGCCTCTGCCAATTCTGCACATTACAGCACATGGTGCTGTTCTAACGGGAGCGTCGTGGCAAAACGGACGCCTCTGGTCGGTCGAGTCAGGAGGCGTTGAAGCCTCCTATTCTAGTCTATGGTGCCGCTCCGCAAACGCCCGGGCCGGCGTTTGCGGTGCAGTTGCGACGCGGTTGCGGAGCGGCAACACCACTTAAACTGCATTATAGGCATTTGCGGGGCGTTATTAACGCTCGGCAAATGCCTAGCAACTGCCGCTAAACCGCGCATGCAGCGTTTGCCGAGCGTTAAAAAACGCTCCACAAACGCCGGACCAATGCTTGCCAAACGCTATAGGGGCGTTTGGCAAGCGTTGGTAAAACAGTCAAGTGTGAACGAGCCCTTAGGGGAATATTTATATTTTGAGCGTTGGTATCCCCCACATTGCATAGCTGATAGTGATATATTATCATGGGATATACTGTGAGAGGTAAATCATACTCAAGTTTTACATTTACACCTTATCTGGCATGCATGCAGGAAACGTGAAGATTTTGTGAATATGTCCACAATAATAATTGACCTCTCAATATTAAATGCCACCGCAACTTCTGTGCCTCCTTCTGCCCCTTTTATATTGGCATCTATTCAAACCTAGACAAATAACCAAATGCAACAGTACCAAGGGGGAATTTTAAATGAATGCAGACACTAATAGAAAAAAAAAAAGCATTAAAATGTAGTTAACCTGTTTATTTGATGATGAAATAGAACTGTCATTGGGATACTGCTTACAATCTATACTACTCATTTTTTAGTGAGTTACAGCAGACAAAGGTGAAAGATGAACACAAACAATAAGTGCAAGCAGCAGCCATTAACAGCCCGCTTTTTTTTTTTTTTTGCTTTTACATTTGTGCTAGCTTCTGTGAACAAAATGAAATACTTTACAGCTTAAGAAAAGCTTCAGGGTGACAAGGGGGGGCAAAGAGCCAAGGACAATAACATTACATAAAAATTTACAATTCTCAGAATAACAAGCCGCATGTCGAGTGTGTGTTATTCTCATGCAAATATTATTTGTCAACCTGTATACACAACTCTCTTCTTCCATAGCGGTACTGGAAAAAAAAATCAACTATTTCTTTGGGAAAATTGCAAAAAGAAAAAGAAATGTTTGAACATCTGGACTGCATTGTGCCTAAAATTATAGCTTAAAAAAAACATAACCATCATAACTGGTTTGTGAGAGATAGCAAAGGGAAAACTTGAAAAGAGATGTGCAGTGCATTGTTTTTGATCAGGAAATGGCTTTTATTTCAGAGGAAAAAAAAAACCCCCAAAAACCTATCTATAAAGTTCCAATTACGCATGCATTCCAGATTCTTATCAGGTGTACCAATTACATCATATACCAAAAACAGAAGAACAGTGATGAGGGAATTTTAAAGCATGGCGATACATATGCTAATCTGCTTACTTTTAAAATATTGTATTTCATTAATAACCACTTAAAATGTGAAAAAAGTGTATTATTAAGCATTGATCCACACCTTAACTCAGCCCTTTCTCAACCAGGGTGCCCAGGCACCCTGGGGTGCCTTGAGGTTTCTTCAGGGATGCCTTGGCAAAATGATTGTTCCCCTCCCCTTGCTAAATCATGAATGAACTGTGATTAACCACATTTTTTGGAAATCGTATGTACTCTTCAGCGCCTCAGGATATGCACAGCCAAAAGGGAAGCCAAGGGTACCAGGACAGCGACAACCAAAGGAAATGCTTCAGGGGTGCAGCCCTCCTCAGACGGGGAAATCAGCCACTAGATAGAGAGAAAAACAGGTGGCGCACACACCTAGTGCATTATCCAAGGTTTATTGTAGGAATGAAAGAATAATAAAAACATACTCACAGACGAAGTATGTATCTAGAAAGCATAGAAAAATGACAATGGCCACAACGGCAGGCAAGGTGTTCTCACTGTCAGTGCGGTCAAATGGCTGACGCGTTTCGGGGATGAATCCCTTTCCTCAGAGC